TTAATTAAGAATTTCTATTGCTGAAGTATCTCAAAGTTTGCCCCGTGCAGGAGCACATGTTGATGGACTAGTTTCTAAAATTGTCTTAACTAAACTTTTTTTAAGTTTGTTCGAATTTACAATAAAGAGAGATAACAGATTGACAACACCTAAATTAGTACATTATGGAACATATTTTCATAACGTACTGAATTGGTGTCATAAATAAATACTTATATGCTCTTTTCTAAAATTCAATCAAACATAAATAAAATTTGACTTTAGGCAACTCTAGGAATTGATTTTCTTAGCAACGGAGAGAGAGTATCCCACTTGTATGCATATTTGTCACGTGTCAAAACCACAGCCGCCAACTGCACTAGCACACATGCACACTGTGATGTGAAGTCAGACAGATTCCATGGTTTGCTGCTACAAATGGCGCATCTCTGCTTGCCCAATACATGCATCAGGCCATCAGTTGACACTGCAATCTTATTTTGCTCTCTTCATCGACCTTTATTAGCTACTCAGCTGCGTCTAAGCTAGTAGTACTGATCAATGGCTTCTGGTAATGGCGCCGTGTTCAGGCTAACCGTTTCTGTAGCAGCCTGCATCTCCCTGGTCCTGTTGTTCATGGGGCCGCCGGCGGCCATGGCCGACGTGCAGGACGACTGCCGCATGAGCTGTCGTCGTGCGATGGCTTCTCTGCTAATGTTTGCAGGAACATCACCAGTATTTTCCCTGTGCTGAACTTCGCGTATACGACGTGCAAAGTTCGGCTCTCTGCAGAGTGTACGCACATCTGCATCGACCTCTGCAGCCTCAACACCCTCACGCCAGGGACTCCCCTGCCGGCGCCGCTCAGCTCCCTGCTGTCACCACCATGCAAGCAATACTGATGCATGCACTTGTTATACTTCACAGATACTATTACTACTCATAACATTGCTATGTAATAAGTGCCTTAGCTCCCGGCGGTGTTCACGAATGATGAGCCAAATAAATAGGAATCTAATCTGATGTCAGCAAAATATGCTTGGTACCAGTGCTTAATGGAAAATAAATTTCTGTGTCAAAAAATTCCATGATTGTACTGAGATTTCTGGCTATTATTTATTTACTATACAATACTGCGGTGTTCAATAAATTTCTGTGTCAAATAAAGTTTGTGTAGTTGACTGAATCTAGCAACCGAGGCCAAAAAAATTAGTTTGTACCATGGACTCAATCCACCAACGGATGCTAGCAAGTGAGCAGGGCTGCCACATTCCAATTTACTGAAATATGATACAATTTTCAATCAAATTTTATTCCGTTCATAAGCATCAATTACGAAGCGCATCCAATTTGCACACAAATACACTCATGCACATCTAAACATCAATCATAAATGTTCAACAAGTTATCCACAGTCCATTAACAACATTCTTAAAAGGTCAATTCAATCTATTTTACAACTTAACTTAATCAACATGAATTATTTTACAAGTCGTCTGTGTCCTATATGACCACAAACTTCTCATTAAGAAGTAGCATACCTTACCAAGGATTTCTCTAATCAAGCGAGCTATTACTTTGCTACACCATGGAAATGAAGTAAAATAAGTTATACCATTGAAGAATGATTCTATATATTTCAAGCTAGTTACTTTAATTTCTTCTCAAACTAAGTAACTAAAGAAGCTCAAGTCTATGAGTCCAAGTGATAAATCGATAAATAAGTTTCTGACCTTGCAAGACACAAATCGATAAATTCAACACAATAACTGTTATATATAGTTACAAACCTCAACTTAACACGCTATCGGTGTGCTTTTGGCACTGTAACACGGTATCTCATAGCTAGCAGCATTGACCATCACAAATCACAAATCACGTGTAAGAGAATTCTGTTTACCATAAAAAATGTTGCGTATAAAAAGAAAGTTTTGTAACTATAATCAACATATATAGCTTTTTGGGTGCCAAAAATCTCTATAATATAATTACTCAATACGCTAATGGTTCGCTTGTAGTAATGGAAAGGTGTAGTCGTCAAGTCATCACCATTAATGAACTGCGCTAAGAGGACATTACTTATTGTCAATGATGGTACCTGTGAAGGATCCAGCTATTTCTAACAACCGTACATGTGTACTTCTAATTTGTTGAATGTAAGGGATAATATTTTATGTATGTACGATCGCAATCTTCGAAAGTCCGCATCACACGCTTCTGCAATCTGCATGCAGGTACAATACAATCAATAAAGGTCATCATCACATCACCAATTTTCCCATCTGCATAATTACATGTACGTACCATATCAGTAGTGATGTCTCACCATCACATGCTTCTCCAAAATTGTCGGTGCTACGGTATCCAACTTGAAAAAGTTGACATTTTTTATTAGAGAAACCGGAAGCACTTACAGTCTCTGGTCAGAAATGTCAACTATTTTGTATCTGATGGCGTATAGCATCCTAATTAGTCATTCTAAAAATCAATTGTGGAAATTTTGTGCCACTCAGAAGCATTAGTTTTTTTTAACAATGTCAGAAATGGTAATTCAGATATAAATTTAGCGGGATATGTGTATTATCTATCGAATAGCAGGTGGATAAATAGATGCAAATCTATGTTTACTTTAGATCATTTTTCTTAATGCCATAAGTGAGTAACTTAAGATTCATGGGTCACCGCATATTGATTTACACATATTTACACTGGTGTATATGTTTTACACATTCACAGAGGTGGATAATTTTTTTAGAAAATAGCAAAGATCCTAGGGTTATTATTGCCAATGTTGATTATAGTCTACATAATTGATAGTAGGATGTTTTTTATTCATCTGCAAATTTCTAGAATTTACCCTTATTTCTACCGGGACTGGTAATGATTAACATAGGCTCCATTCGGGACCTCTAGTTAGAATTTATAAGATTTATATATGTTCTTATTGTGGTACTTGTTTAGTGGAAATCTAAGCTTATGTTATATATACTATAGTTGCATACCTTTGTGTGACATCGTGAATCTATACTTTAAATTAACTTTTATCTAGATGCTGTAATTCTTTTTTCCGCATGTTAAGTTTAAACCGTAATTCTTATTGTATATTTTATTCATAATTTTCATCTTTTATTTTTTAAGAAAGATTATAGGTCGTAGGTTGCTCTCTCGGTTCTTACAATAGTATAAATAGTGGGTTTTATTTTGAATCATCTTTCATAATGGAAGGAGTGGTTAATTTGGATGCAAATTTGGTGGATTATTTTGAATTACCTTTCATAATAGCAAAGGTGGATAGTTTAGTGGCAAAATTAGGGGGTTATTTTATGTTGAGTTAGGTCTGAGGCCTAGGTCATGTGTTGGACATGCCCCGGTGGGGTGCTAACTTGTGGGTATAACAGGCTAGTCCGAATTCGTTTGTTGCATACTCTAACAAGTGGTTTTAGAGTCCATGGTTGAAAAACCTAAACAATTTCAGGGGTCATATGATGACGGGGGAGCCCACAACTTTCATATCAACACTACAGGAAAATAGATTTTCAGATGTAGAACTTTTTATTTTTAGAGGCGAGCAAGCTGCCCACCTCAAACAAATGATCTCAGTTAATGGTTTGTTATTTACGTAGGCAGACATGTTAAGAAATCTCTTTTGTTAATGGGTTCAGAAAACCCAAAAAAATACGTATCTTTGAGGGTTCAATCCCAAGACCTCTGGCATATGTTCTACCACTGCACTACACACTCATTTATAAGTATACATGTAACACTATGTTTTTGTGTTAACAATTTTGTAATCTTGCATTGAATATTTGAAGCCCTAAATTATTTCAAATGAAAAAAGACTTACCTACAAAGTTTTAGGTCTTGACGAGCTATACAATTTTCATAAAAGGTGTATCTTCATATGATATTGTTTGAAAATTCCAAAAAAATATTGTCTCTCAAAATATGTGAATTTAAAACAAATATTTGAGAATCTAAACAAGTTCAAATTAAAACCTTATCTACAACAAATTTGTAGATTAGGTCCGCCACTACTAGTTTAGTATTAACCATTTGAACTTTAGAAGTGGTATGGAAATTCTAAATTTTTAGTTTCAAAATCTAAGACCTTAAAACACTTGGGGACCCTAAAACAACTTTAATTTGATATATACCATGGTGACATTCAAGGTTGTTTGAGAATTTAAGATTTTAAAATCGGAGAAATTAAAATAATATTTTGGGACTTATTAAACAGTTTCGAATAAGAAACTTCCCAATCACGAAGTTGTACATCTGGTCGAGGACAAAAAAATTTATGTAAAGTTTGTCTTCATCCGACTTCATACAAAAAATTATAAATTATTTTTTAGTACAACTATTTCTAGTGATGTGCCTCTTAAGACTACCATCCCTGTTATTAGATTTGTATAGGTGGACCCTTAGAATGGCGTCTCTATTCATAGAGGTTTTCAGAGACGGACGCTTTAGGACACCCGCCTCTATTGATAGTTGATTAACAGAGGTGTTAATCATTTCTAAAATCATTTTTGTATTAGTGTAATTTAACTAATCAAATCAATCTAGACTTACATAATTATATGAAACAAAATGATTTAAAATAAGTCGATCTATAACTTGTGTGATGGTCATTTTGACAGCACACAAACCTATCTCTCCTGTATTTCATATATGCAAGGGATCGGATCGGATCGGATGGAGCAATCACGCTCACAACCATAAACTAACTTAAGTACGTCAACGTTGCTCATTGGAAACAAACTAGCACAGTAAGCTGTGATAATTCTAGTATCAATTATCGAGGGCAAGCATGTGCACGATCGAGTTGTCGTCAGGACAGCCACTAACAACATGTTGCCCCTATCTACACGCATACAGAATTCAGTAATTATCAGACGTGCGTTCATGGCTATAAAAAGCACACTCCCGCTCGCTATCCCAGTATGAGCATCATCATCAGCTGAGAATACCAAAGTCTTCTCCTACTTTCCTGCAGCCCTATTAGTCCAGTTCGTTGATCAATGGCGGCTTCCGCCGGGAGCGCCGCTGTGCTCAAGACGGCCGTGCCTGCCACCTGCATCGTGCTGGTCCTGTTGTCGGCCATGGGTCCGCCGGCGATGGCCGACTTGCGCGACGATTGCCGCGCGTTCTGTAATCCTAGGTGCGCTGGCTACACTAGTGATCTGTGCGGCGGCATCATCCACATTTCCCCTTTGCTGGATCCCCTCAGCTTGACGTGCATCGAGCGGTTCTATGGAGTGTGTGCCATCACATGCCTGACCATCTGCACCGCAAACACCCTGACTCCGTCCGGCAGCCCGGTGCCGGAGACTCCCCCGCCGCCGCCGCCGCCGTGCAAACAATATTGATGTCTCCGTGTTACGTATTTCTGAAGTCAGTATACAATACCAGTTCTCCGTTTCGCAATATATGTCTGTACTAAATAAATGATTATAAGTTGCAACGGAAAAAAATAATGATATTATGTGTTGTACTGTTTATCAATAAATGATATTTCGAGTGTGATGTTTGGAATATCAATAGTACATGAGTTTTCATGAAGGACGATGGTCAATTAAAATATAACTCTAGTTTTGATGTGAAATTTGTTCATTATGACTATCTATTGCATGCTCGTCTTAGCGCGGGGTGCAAGGATACTGCTCACCTGTGGAAACGCCGATGGCCTAAGACAGACCAGTTTGTAGTAACACATGGCGTAGTTCAATTTCTAATACGTAAAACCACAGAAAGGCTTCCCAAGCCACCTCCCTGTGTAACTCTGCTTGCTATGTAAAAAAAATACTTCTTGTCCGCGATACGTTTAATAAGATGGTCCAGTACGTAGTCCTTGAACTAAAGTTCTCGTAGAATTTCCTTCGTGATCCAATAGCTGTTAGGTCACAGTATACCTCTCAGACGTAGATCAGGGGTAGGCTTCTTACTTAGATGGGGAAACAGTTGATGTACCTTGATCTATTCTGTCCATCGACGCCGGTACCGTAGCGTTGTAGGCGTCATGGTGGTGATGCAGTGGCGACGGTGGAGTCGGTGGGGCTTCCCGTCGCTGGCAGCACTCTTCTTTAGATCGGGTTAGGTTTTCTCTGTAGGTGGATCACCGGCGGCTCTGTTCAACCTCGTCATCCGAGCCTTGGTCCCCACACCTCTCTTTATAGTGCTGTACGACAGGGACCCACCAACCACATTAGGGTTGGGCGCCCCCGATCAGGGCGCAGATACAAGGGCCCAATAGGTCGTTGGGCCTATTGGTGGAGATCAACTAACATTCTTCCCCTTGATCTCACTACTATTTTTCAATTTCATATCATTTACTTTTGTTCATTCTATTACAGATTAGCGCATAGAGCATTTTCATCGTCACGGATAATTGCCGATAGATTTAACAGCTACAACACACCACTCTGTTCGGAAATAGATACTTAACTTTGGGCCTTCTTTTGTCCAGGAATTTTAGGCTTTCCCTCAAACCTATGCTAGCTACATGTTCTCTGAACACGTTGGGTGGTAAGCCTTTTGTATGCGGATCCGCAAGCATCTTTTCTGTAGTTATATGCTCAAGACTTATGACATGATCCCGGACTTTATCTTTCACAACATAATACTTTATGTCAATGTGTTTGGCAGCACCACTTGACTTATTGTTGTGAGCATACTGTACTGCCGGATTATTATCGCAGTATAACTTAAGTGGTCTATAGATGTCGTCAACCACCTTCAAACCGGGTATGAACTTCTTTAGCCAGTTCACCTGCCCGGTTGCCTCATAACACGCTACAAACCGTCATACATTGTGGACGATGTAGTGACGGTTTGCTTTGAGCTTTTCCATGAAATAGCTCTCTCTGCGAGAATGAATACATATCCAGACATGGATTTTCTAACATCTCCCGCATAATCAGAATATGAATATCCCTCTATATGGAGTGAATCAGATCTTCTATATGTCATCATGAGGCCTTTCGTTCCTTGCAAATAACGCAAGACTTTCTTTACTAATTTCCAGTGTTCTGTTCCAAAATTGCTCTGGAATCTGTGAAGTAACCCGGTAACAAATGTAAAGTCAGGGCGCGTACATACTTGAGCATATTGCAAGCTTCCAACAGCTGAAGCATATGGAACCACTTTCATTTAATCGATCCCATATTGGTTCCTGGGGCATTAAAAAATCCCCATATCTGTCGCCCTTGACTATAGGAGCAGGTGAGGGACTATATTTATGCATACTAAATTTCTTTAAGATCTTTTCTATGTATGCCTTTTGTGACAGTCCTAATACCCCTTTACTTCTATTTCGGTGAATCTCGATCCCTAGAACGAACGAAGCTTCACCAAGATCTTTCATATCAAATTTTGACAAAACTTTTTTGTCTTCAGCAGTAGACTGACATCACTGCTAGCACGTAAGATATCATCCACATACAGGATAAGGAAGATAAACTTTCCATTCTTAAACTTTTCATAGACACAATTGTCCTTTATATTCTCTTTAAACCCAAAATTCCTTATTGTCTAATCAAACTTCAAGTACCACTATCTTGAAGCTTGTTTTAATCCATAAATAGATTTCTTTAGGCGGCATCCCATTCGTTCTTTTCCTTCCATGACAAAACCTTTCGGTTGTGCCAGGTAAACATTTTCCTCCAAGTCCCAGTTGAGAAATGCCGTCTTTACATCCATCTGATGTAATTCTAAATCATAATGTGCCACTAATGCCATTATGATTCTAAAGGAATCCTTATATGAGACTGGAGAAAAGGTCTCATTATAATCAATCCCTTCTCTTTGCGTAAAGCCTTTTGCCACAAGTCGTGCTTTGTTATCTCTCTATATTCCCTTGAGAGTCAAGTTTTGTTTTGTAGACCCATTTACAACCTACTGTTTTGGCTCCTTTAGAAATTATTTCCAAATCCCAAACTTTATTGGCATTCATAGATTTCATTTCATCTTCCATGGCCTCGAGCACACTTTGATGAATGATCATTTATCATGGCTTCTTTAAATAAGGTGAGATCATCCTCCATTTGAAATTCCTCAGTGTTGTACACTTCATAGTCAGCAGGAATAGCTGATTTTCTAACCCTTTGAGACCTTCTAGGGGCCTCCACATTTGGCATATCTTCTGTTTGAGGCTGTTGTTGCTCCTCCTCATTTGTGGTAATAGGTTCTACAGGATCCTGAAGAATAGGTTCCTCATCATCATTCATTGTTGCCACAAGCGGAATAACAACAGGTGTTGGCACCACAGTATCTTCCACTATCGGCGCAGCAACAGCAGGTACTGAAAAAAATGGCTCATGAATCATCGGAGTGGGCGCATACACCCGCTTCTCTTCAAGATCAATTTCTCGAGCTACCATGCTCCCCTTCATCATTTCATCCTCTAGGAAGACTGCATGTCTCGTTTCTACAAACTTTGTATGTCTGTCTGGATAGTAGAAACGAAAACCTTTTGACTTTTCTGGGTAACCAATGAAATGGCAACTCACTGTTTTGAGATCTAGCTTCCCAATGTTTGGGTTAAATACTTTAGCCTCAGTAGGACTCCCCCACACACGTAAGTGGTTTAGTGAGGGTACTCTTCCTATCCATAACTCATACGGTGTTTTTGGCACCGACTTACTTGGTACTCTATTGAGAATATGAATGGAGGTTTTTAACACCTCTATCCATAGGCTCAACGGTAAGGTGAAGTAACTTATCATACTGCGCACCATATCCATCAGGGTACGATTGCATCTTTCAGCTACTCCATTCTGACGAGGTTCGCTCGGTGTAGAATACTGGGCTACTATGCCATTCTCCTATAAGAACCTTGCAAAAGGTCCAGGAACTTGGTCATACGGGGTATGCCGACCGTAGTACTCCCCGACGGTCAGACCCGACTATCTTAATCTTTAAATTAAGTTGGTTTTCAACTTCTATCTTAAATATCTTAAATTTATCCAATGCTTCTGTTCTTTCTTTGATTGGATAAATACAGCCATAACGGGAGTAATCATCTGTGAATGTTATGAATGAATCATAACCATCCACACTCTTTACAGGAAATTGTCCACATATTCTGTGTGAATAATCTATAAAATTCCTGTGCTTCGTTTGGCATCTTTCTTAATTTTCTTTACATACTTTCCTTTTATACATTCTCTGCTTGTCTTTACAAACTTTCCTTTTATGCATTCTCTGCATTGTTCTAAATCTGAGAGCTCTAATGGAGGAAGAATATTATTCTTAACTAGTCTTTCTATTCTCTCCCTCGAAATATGGCATAAACGTCAGTGCCATAATTTCGACGATGCATCGTGAGCTCTCTTATGCCACCATTTTCAGAGTAACTCTCTGTGACCAGCTGCTTTATCAGTTGAATAGCATATGTCTTTGAAGAGCCAGTGAACTGACTCTTTATTCTATCAAGGTACTCGGTGACCGTGTCACACTCTAGGATTGAGCCCACAATTGCAGGTTCAATCGTGTTCTTTATCACAGCCAAACATTTCTTATTAGCAGTGACCCACTTCCTATGCTCAAGGTCAAAAGACATCTTTTGGGATTCAAAATCTCTCTCTTTAGTAGCCCAAGTGGCATCAGTTTCGTTTGTCTCCCTCACCGGTGCCACACGATCAGTGGGACACAGTGAGGTGACTACCCAGTCCACCTCAGCCAAGATGAAGGCCATGTCCAACTTTTCCTTAACATAAAAAATAATAACAATTGCATGCCTTGGTTCCAACGTTGGTCAAAATTAAGACATAAAACTGTTCTTATACACTAATTCTACATCACCGTTGGGCATAAATAGAATTAATGCATAAATCATTAAAATTACGATATTGTTATTAACAACGTTGGTCGGAAAATAACAACATCATAATCATGTCAAAATCTCTTTTTCTCCAATTAAATATCACGTTGGTTCAAAATCACTGGAGAATTAACAATTTCTTTAGCAGCCATGTCAAAATCTCATCATAAATAACATCATAATATTGCCATTAATCAACGTTGGTCAGAATAATAACAATATTATAATCAATTAAAAACATATCCATTTTCAAAATTAAATTCTCTCGTTGGTTCGAATTTAATAATGAAAATAACATCTTTAGATTCGCAGCGGAAAAATAATTCAATTTAATGAATTTTTGCCCACAGGACAAATCTCTTTTCTATTTTCTTTAAGCCATTAATCAATTTCTAGGAAATAAACATTTACAGGAAAAAGAAAAAAGGAAAACTGATTCATTTCCGTTACAGTCTTCGGCCCAACCGGCAAAGCGGCCCATGGCCCAAGCCCCCGCGCGCGCTGTCCCGCACTCTCCCCCACGCCCAGGCCGCAACCTGGGCCTAGGCC